TATATATATATATATATATATATATAATGTGCATGCCTCTCGAGTGTGTACTTCCAAGCGTGCTTATTGCACCTACTGCGCCTTCCCGTTGCATGCATGTACTGCAGCTACGGCTTCTACCACAGCAGCACTATCTGCTTGGCAGCAACAGCATCTGTATAAACAGCAGCAGCGGCACTGTCGTGTCTGTTTACCGTCCAGCCAGCGCTGGGGGTCTCTCCCCACGTCTGCCGCCTCTGGGTCTTCGCTGCTGCTGTCAACTAACACTAAAAACTGTACTCGCCAATATTTGACTCCCGTTGCAGAGTCAGAGCTCAGAGAGACTAGGGTTATTCGCCATTCACTGAGTCCCAATGCCTGCAGCAGACCCCACACCAAACCCTAAAACCCGAACTTTTAACGACCCGCTACCGGCACAAAATATTGCCAACTGGACAGCACAGTATTTGCAGGCGATGCCCCCGTATTCTTAGCAATTAAAATCAAAACCCTAAGCCCTTAAACGAGAGATGGAAGGGCTGGTTCTGCCCACGCAGGTCCCTCCTAGTCTACTGCAGGGTTTTAGGGTTTGTTCTCTGCAGTGTTTGCTGTTGCTCTACTCTCAAGCACTTTCAGCCTGCGCTGCAGCACAGCTGGTTGCAACGGCAATCTGCTGCTGCTGCATCCATCAGATCTTGTACCAGTCTCTTGCTGAGACATAGCTACTACAGCAGTCTGCTGCTGCAGCTGCGCTATGCTTTTAGAAGAGAGAATGGTTGCGGTGTTCGCGGGGTCGGGTGTCTTCACTCTCTGGAGAGGGTTTTTGCTTGCCTGGCTGAGGGTGTTTAGGAGGTTGGCGCTTGCTTGAACTAAAGCATCTTGGCTTAGACTGTTTGTCTGAAGAGACGCTTTTCTTGTAATTACAAACAGCATACACGCCCCACTGCAACTGCGCTGCTCGAGGAGCTCGGGACAGCTCAGGACCTCTCCAGGGGCTGCCTGCAGTGCGAGGCCCAGCAACGCGAAGGGTTTAGGGCTTTGGATTCAGGCCTTTATATCTGTAGAAGACCCATGTTCTAGGCCTACAGCACATACTAGCCTTCCTTTAATGCGGCAACACGGCGATGCCAGGTGTTTTGAGTTAAACAAGGGAGATGAGAGACTCGGTGCAACCTGAGTGCTGGGGTTTTGAGGTCCTAGTGTTTAGGGTATCCGATGGTTTGGAGGTTCGAGGACTGATTATTTCGTTGGTATGGGGCACAAAGGGGTGAGCTGTTCGTTGGAATAGGGGCCTTAGGGTTCCGGGGGTTGAGCTTTTCCTCACGGTTTATAGGGCTTATTTTGGGTTCACTTGGGGTTTAGTTGAGGTTTAGGGTTTGCCGTTTAAATGGAGTTTCTGTGGGCAGTAATTAAACTTTGAAGCCAAGGGTTTAAAGTAGGGTTGAACTAGGGTTTAGGATTTATCGCACGGTGATTTGTCTGTGGCGGTACTGTTCGCTGTCTCCACATTCGACGGGGCAGACCGTCCATTCTCCCCATTCTCCCACTTGACAGACGGCGGGTTCTGGCGGTTGTGCTTCTTCAGGGCCTTTTCCTGCGATGCATGCGAAGGCCGTCAAGCAGGAGAAAGCAGCAGCCACCACCAACGCAAAAGAACCCAGCCACAGCAGCAGCTCTGCAGCAAACCACAATCATCATACACATTTTAGGACTGAAGATTAAAGGTTGTACGGTCCACAGTCTAGCCGGCGTAAAGAAAATTTGACAGCAGAGCATGGACTTCGGTGTAAAGGCAGCAGCAACTATGGACAGCAAAGAAACTAGCAACAACTCCTCCTTTGGAGAACCATAGGGTTTAGGGTTCATGGGTCTGTGCATTATGGAGGAGTCAGTGCACTTTTATCTCTTCTTTTATCTTCAAGCGCTTCGTCTGTAAGCTCCGGTGGGACATCCGAGCTCCCGCCGGATTGCCAAGAGAGGAGGCTGCCGCTGCCTCCTTTTGGAACCACCACACCGATAGTGCTGCTGCTTCCATCAGCAGTAGCAGCAGGAGCAGAAGCGCCTACTGCAGCAACAGCTGCTGCTTCCCGAGTGCCTGACCTTGTGGGCTGCAGACTGCGCCTGCAGAGGCCCCCAGACGTTTCACCAGAAGCAGCAGAACCACTCATTCTTGCTGCTGTTGCTGCTGCGGTTGCTGCTCCAGCAAGTGCATCCACCCCACCTGCATCTAAGGCAACAGCGCTTTCTTCTCCTGATCCTGCAGTTGCATCCGCCCCTTGCATGTCTAAGACAACGGCGTTTCCCCCATCTGCTGCTGCCGACTGCTCGAGACCTTCCGTCTCTAAGTTAACGGCATCCCCGTCTGGCCCTGCGGCTGCCGCTACATCGTCATTAACATCTGCCGCTGGTTGGTCATCTGCTGCTGGACCTGCATCATCACCATCTTCTGCTGTTTCTGCTCCACCGTCATCACCTCCTGCTGCTGGGCCATCTTCTACTTCGGCATCATAATCATCCGCTACTGCTGCTGCACGAGTTGCTGCTGCGTCATCAGCGTCATCTGCGACGGCTGCCCCAACATCATCCCGTACGACTCCAACAGCATCATCATCATCATCATCATCATTATCGTCATCATCTGCTGCTGCTCCTGCTGCTTCTGCTTCACCCTCATCGGCTGCTGCTTCTGCTACATCATCGCCATCATCTGCTGCTGCTTCATCAGCATATCCTACGCCAACGGCAGCTGGTCCTGAGGCCTCGCCGCTGCTGCCCCTGCTCACAGCGTCTTCAAGGGGACCCGTTGTTTCTGTGCTGTTAGACTCTGTCTCTCCTGATGCTGCCGTTACTGCTACTGCTGGGTCGTTGTCTACTCCCGTATCCTCATCCGGGGAGCCAGAACTTGCCCCATCGGCCCCCTCGCCACCGGCCTGGGAACCAGCATCATTTCCATCTCCAGAAGCAGCAGCGACAGTAGCAGCACTGCCTTCAGGTTCGACTTCTGCAGTCCCCAGGGGGTTGCCGTCTTGGCTGTTTTCTTCTGAGGACGACATCTCTGTTGTGTTGTCCTCTTGTTGAGAAAAGAAAAGAGGAGCTAAGGCTTAAGGATAGCAGTTCTGTGTGTGGTTAGCATATTTCGTCTGCACTTGTGCTATAGTATTTGTATTTTGGAATGGGACTTCCCGGACACCGAACCTTAAAAACGATGAAGCTAGAGTTCAAAGACGCAGGCTTCGCTTGCAGCATTGCGGTGCCTTTTTGTGCCACAACACATAATTCAGTTTTAGGCCCTTCCTTCTAAGTAGCCGGAAGTAGTTGCAGAATGCATGCAGTTGAATAATACACCGCAGGCTAGAGAGGAAAATGAATCTTTTTTTCTGAGTGGGGTATTACAAATTAAATGCGACAATAAGTATATGGGTGAAACTACAAATACAAATTATCGATTTGCTATTGTATATGAATACACGACACATGAGGGAGGAGTACTCCTTCAACTTGGAGGGGATGGCCACTCGCTGAAGGTTTTGTGTCTCGTTCTTGCAGTAACCAATGTGTTTAAGAGAAGGGCAAAACCTTGCACTATGGCGAGTGGCAACTGTAGCAGCGGGTGGAACAAGCTCTCTGTTTTTCTAAATACAATAAGGATTGCATTTCGCATCCGTTCACCCAGAGGCAATAGAAATGGTAAAAGGAAGCAAACGACAAGCAGAACTGCTGTTGTCCCCCTGTACCAGAGACGCACACCACCCTACAATAAGCACCCCAAGGTACTCAGTCTACCTACGCATGCTTAAAAACAATTCTGCGTGCTTGCATGCATAAATGCATGCGATAGTGCATGCATTAATGCATGCACTGAGCGGCTGGCACAGATCCATACGGGCTAGGTGCCTGTTGTACACCCAATGGGATAACCCCCTAGCCAGCAAGAATGCCTAAACGCCCCAAATTAGTGCAATGCTTATTTGAAAAATAATTAAATGCGTCATTAGTGATTTATCGAAGGGAAAAAAGCAGGAAGAGTGACTAACACTGCACTTGTGTGTGGGGCGTGCGCAGAGGGTCACCACGGGTCCCCTTCTGTTGTTCCTGAACGTCAGTACAAAAAAGGAGACTTTTTGAGTAAACGATAAACAAAAAGAAACAACACCAGTAAACACTTAAGTGCTTTGCCCCGATTGACCCATGCGTTTGGTGTACACCGTTGCATGCTACTATTGTGTTAACACTGCCGACGGTCCTGCACCACCATTATGTCTTTGGGCTTCTTTCCCTGGTTTGTGCCTTTGCCTGCCTTTTCTCTATTTCTGTAAGTCTTCAATATACACGAATGACGACGATTCTGATGACCAGGCTAAGTGCTGCACTGAACACTTGTGGGGAACCCGGAGAAAAGGAACCCGTCTGTCCGACCGTTATATCTTGACACAGACAAGCACACATTCAAACACAAGCGCACCTAAGCACGTGGATAGATGTAAAGCGTTCACCCATGCATACATGCACGCCTTCATGCATGCAAGCACGTATGTATGTTCCAGAGTGCCCCGGCAGCAGGGGTGCTTTCACTGCCTCTGCATCAACGAGAAATTCGTGAAACCAAAGAGCAGAGACGACTAAATCGTCGTAAAATTATCTATAAAACGGTAGAATGGATCAAAACACCCGTAAAAAAACAACAGGTGCAAAAAAAAAAACACAGAAGGAACACCAAATGTATCAGCAGTATAGCAATCCGCAGTCTAGCTGCGGTGTATGCAGAAGAGCAGTGCGCTTTCTAAAAAGAGATTAAGATCTAGGGATTAGGCGTTAGGGCTTGGGGATTTGGAGGTTTATCTTCATTATTCTTTTTGTGCTCGCGATATTGATCATAATAAATGTGACAACAGTGATGGCAATAATAAGAAATATGCACTGTAATCATTCTGTCCCTTTTTCTGTAATAACTGCCATCATTGTTGTTGTCACAATTGTTATGGTCAATATCGCGAGCACAAAAAGAATAATGAATATAAAGTGCAACAGGAGAATAAGTTAGTGAGTAATTAATGCATGTTCCTTTTACATCAAGAGAAAGGGCTCGTGGGGTTCCTGCACAACATTGTTTCCCGGCCCGAAAGGTAGGCTAGAAAAAACTTTCCTTAATGTTGCACCTGCTAGCATCCAGTGGGAGACTTAGGAGAAAAGGGGAGACACGTGAGATAGAGGAGACAAAAGATGAAACAGCAAATAGCAGAGACAGAAGAGGCAGAAGAGGGAGGGGAGGCAGAATAGCCCAAAGCGACAAAAGGTGAAAAGAGAGAGAACTAAAAGGGGAAGAGCCGAATGAAAATTGGGCGTAGACCCCGAGGCAGAATGCTGTAGCAAAGATTGGGATTGGCCCTCCTTCTCTTTCTCTCTCTGTCTCTCTCTCTCTCTCTCTCTCTCTCTCTCTATATATATATATATATATAA